ATTCTGTCTTCAACTCTACCAAATGATCCAAAATAATACTAGCTTCTTGGCAGGCGTTCTACATGGAAGTGTGTAGATCCACAAATTGAACAGTCCTGTGTACTCTTGTCTTGGCAAATTTTTTGTCTGTGGAAGAAGTAGTTAAACGGTTAGTTATGTAAGCTTTGTCCACTGGGCTGATTTTTAGAATATGCAACTAAATCTTCTATTGTATAGACCACGCAAGATGCGGCACAAGTCCTGCCTAATTTGGCCAGAATAATCTCACTTCAGTTCTGTAGCTAAAAGTGTGTATTTTTTGAACCATAGATACGTTTCCTGTGTCCTTGGGTGTCCCTATGAAGGGAAGATTTCTGCAGCTAAAGTTGCAGAGGTGAGTTCATCATAAATATAAGCTGAATTTCTGTGAGGTTTTTGGCTCCCTTTTGTGGATGTGGACTACGCACTGGGGGATGTGTCAAACCCTTTAATTGACGGCTGAGGGAAGACTGGGGAAGGTTACAGCTGGCTGCCACCACAGGGAGGGAAGGCTGGATCTAGCCAAAATGGATGGGGGAATTCAGGGAGGAGAGTACCCGTGGCTCTTGTTCCCCCGGTGAAGCTCTGATTCCTCTGTACAGTGGGTCTCCAGCTCTGGGGAAGGGAATAACAAAACCGCTTTCTCAGTAAGCATCGTGGCTTTTGGACAGGTCTCAAAGAAGATGTACTCGATGGGATGCTACGAGATTTCCCTCGGTGACACCATTGGCATTGGGACGCCAGGGAGCATGAAGGAGATGCTGACAGCAGTCATGAAAGAGGTGCCAGTTGGGGCTCTTGCTGTTCACTGCCATGATACGTACGGGCAAGCTCTTGCCAACATCTTGGTGGCGCTTCAGGTAAGATTCTTGCTTTGCAGTATGGCATCTTCCCTTGAGTTTCTTCTGTGCTTGCTTGTGAACTGCAGATTTAAGGAGCAGGACCACAGTTTGTCCTTTAAGAGGAGTTTGCTGATAGTGATTCTGTTTGCAGATGGGTGTGAGCGTGGTTGATGCTTCCGTCGCTGGCCTTGGAGGCTGCCCCTACGCCCAAGGAGCATCGGGAAATGTTGCTACAGAGGACTTGGTGTACATGCTGAATGGCCTGGGCATCCACACGGTGAGCACGGGCAGCCTTTGCCTGCAGCAGTTGAGCCTCTCACACGATGGCTCTGTTTGGGCTCCAACGGGGGTTCAAAATTTGTCCCGGGGATCCTGAGCATAGTTGCAAGGGTTGTTCCAGGTCTGCCGTGCAGGTCAGCCAGGCTGTGCCGGGGCACCGTGTCTTGCCGTGCCAATCCCACCCCCACCTGCCAGGAACATTCCCTCCTCTCCCTTCTTCAGCACTCTGCGGTTTGACCCTCGCTCTCAGAATCGCACTGGTGAGCTGCAGGCACTGTGCTCGCTAGTTAAAGTACCCATTAACTAAAGGATAGTTTAGTCGAAGTACCCTAAACCTCGTTAAAGGACCCTTTAAAGGCTCCCTCACCCCCTGCTAGTCTCTCCCAGTGATACCAGTTGTGCCTGGGCAGCTTTATGTGGCAGAACCGGTACCAAGGCATGCCGTATCTTTTTTTCCCATGAAGGGTGTTGATCTGCAGAAGCTGATGGACACAGGCACGTTTATTTGCAATGCTCTCAACAGACGAACCAATTCCAAAGTGTCCCAGGCATCTTGCAGACTGTGATACTGAATCGTGTTTCTCCTTGGATCAAGAAGAAAGCAAGGATGTGACGCTGGCCGGGTTTCCCCTCTGTCCTGCTGCCTCTGATCTTCAGTGCTCCTTCCAGGCTCAGCGCTTGAGAGGAAATGCGTAATCCACCAGAATCTATGAAGAAATGAAAAAAATGAGAATACTGTATTCCACCTCGAAGCTGTTAGCCATTTGCCTTAGAGAAGGGAGGGTGCGGATGGGCTGAGGGAGAAGTAGCAGCCACAACCTTTGCCTTCCCCCAGAGAGCTGTGGTCTCCGGCAGCAGCTCAGAATGACATCTGGTAACATCTGTGTTGAGAGTGTGTTACCGTAAACTACCGGCAAAGGATAAACCACAGCGTTTCTGGGTAGAGCACTTCTCCGGGTCAAGTTTGATCCTTCTTCCCTCCTCTCTCCTCACTACACCTGTTAAGACTGAAATCGAAAGGCTCCCCTTCCTCGTCCAAGAGGCAGCCTTGGACCTTCTGTCTTAGCATTTAGGGGCTGTAATAAAAGGACTGTATCTGTTGTAAGATACTTTTAAATACTAAGAGTAATAAACAACGTTATTTAACAGTTTAAACTATTAGAAATTGGGTTTGACTAAACCAGTTAAAGTGCCTCTTCCACCAGCACTCGACATGGAAACGCTGTATCCTGGTGGGCTGTAGCCCATCCCCTGGGAGCAGACAGCGTGGAACACCATTGTTCCATACACGCCTGTACTCACGCTAAACAGGTCCTGGGGCTGTCTCCCCCGGTCTTCTATTTAAAATAATTTATTTAATACTTTATTTCAGAGACCAGAGCCCAGCTGCATACGGGACCGTCCCGTAATAAATCACTTAAATAAGCTGTAACAATTAAATAAACGGTGACACTGAAACAACCCGGAATCGGTGAATGAATGGGTGGGTCCAAGCGCGGGGCTCGGCGGCCTCCTCCCGCCGCCAGGGGGCGCTGCGGGACCCCGCGGGTCGCCTGGTGTGGCTCCGCC